TAAATCGGTTTTTTTAAAAAACAAACCCAGTAACTAAGAAACAAAGAGGTCAATTTACTAGAGTTTTGTTGGTGGTAGTTAATAGTGAATACTCTTTGCCAGATTTTTTTTTTTTTTTGAGACAGTCTGATTTTGTTGTCCTTGGTAAAGTGCTGTGGCATCACAGCTCACAGCAACCCCTAACTCTTGGACTCAACTGAATCTCTTGCCTCAGTCTCCCAAGTAGCTAGGACTACAAGCACCTGCTGTAACACCCGTTACTTGCCAGATTTTTTTTCTGGTTGTATTATATGTGTGTCTTTAGGAAAGTTTTGAGATTCAAAAAAGTCAAGAAATGTAAAATCTGTGTGGATGGAAACAAATGAAGCCCTCTCAGCAACACTGATAAATCCAGCAGGTTGAAACTTGCATGGGAGAATCAGAAAGAACACTCACTGCCAACTGTGTTTATTGGAAGTGAAATAGTGGACCGCACAGTCTGTCTCAAAACTTTTGTAGTGACCTATGTATCTTATGTTTACTCCAAAGATCTATTATCTTGGCTATGTGTATCCCAGCCAAGCCATCATTTCTTAGTAAGCCTGTTGAGTGAGTTTATCTTGTATGCCATTGTGGTTGCTAATGGAGGAGTCCTATGACTAAAGGCTGTATTTTCTAGCCTTGCTAAAACATGAATTTAAATTCTGTTAGATAAATACTGAGAAAGCTCTACACTTACAAGTAGCTAACAGTTTTCATTTTATTTAAAAACTTATCACAGGATGTTTTTAGTACATTTGTTGGTGAAGTGGTTCCTTGGCAGAATTACCATTCTGTGTGTAGGCGGTCATTTACAAAGAGCCAAATTTTATCATTTATTTATATTAGAAAATATAGTGTTTTTTTTTTGTTGTCGTTGTTGTTGTTGTTTTTTACTAAAGCGTCCCAAAATGACCATGCCTGATTACTTCAGTGGTAGGTAGTAGTTTTGTAATAAAAATTATTGGTCAGATTGTTTGTAGAGGTATATTTAGAAATACTGAAGTATTTTAGCTTCTAATAATTTGCCTTTTGGAACATTAATAATAATCCAGCAGATTTTTTTTTCTTTTCAGTTTTACTTGTAGCATTTCCTTAAATAGTCACACTCATAAAATTTGGTGGTAGTAGTTGATTAATGGTTAGGGAGGAAGGGTATTAAAATATGACAATATAGGTACAGATTGGAAAATGTTGGGTTTAGTATTTAAGTTCATCCTATGGTTTATCCTATGGGGGTACATGTGAGTCTTTCTAAATGTAGACTATAAATGTCTTAACACAAAACTAAGAAAATGACATGAAGGCTAAGTTAACCAGTTGGATGAAAGTATTTCAAACTGTATATAGAAACAACACATTGTACTCCATGATAGTATTAATGTACAAAGCTATGATTTAATAAAAAAAATTTAAGTTCATCATAAGACAAAATACCTAGAAAGAACTAAGTATTAATATAAGTTTGAGAATTATTTATTCTAGTTCAATTAGAGCAAGGATGGGGAACCTTTTCATGTTGGAAGGATGGATTAGTTTAGCTGTAACCAAGTAAGGCCATGTTCAAGAAACGTCAATTAGCTATACCTAAATATATAAATTATTTTCTAAAATCT